CACACACACACACACACACACGCGCATGCACACACACGCACGCACACACAAATATACAAACGCACAAATATCAACCATGCCATTGCATACAAATCAGGCAGAACAGGAAAAACACAACCCTCAAGCTGTTAATTCATTCGCAGCTATACAGAAAGAGGAAACTGCTGACGACTTCAGGCCTTTCGGTTAAAACCCAAACCATACATTCATTGAAATTTTCAGGCCCCGGTACTCCAGGTATAAGGTGTGCTAATTAATATAAAGCTGTGAAATCAGCCGTGCCACATTTTACTTATGCTTGCTGTAAAATTCAAGAAGAAAAAACCTTCAGGCATTCTGCTTCAGTGTTTTAGTCTAAAACAGGCAAGAGAAGAAAGATGATAAAAGATGTTGTAAAAGAGCTGACAGCAGCTAAGGAGCACAGCACTAGCAGTCATTACTGTAACTTTACTGACAGGGCTTGGAGGGAATTCTGAATTTTTTACTATCTACTATGTTAAAAGCATCATAAAATGGTAAATGTGCCATATTTTAGCAGTCACGGTAAGATAAATTACTAATTAATCTCGATGTGTGGCAACGCTTAATGATTTATAGATTGGGATGTGATTAACCCAGGCACCATTAGTACATTTCAGTATTGTACAGTAGATGATTAGAGAACAAGCTTTGCATGCATGAAAATGATGGATTACCTTTTCAGCATGCCTAAGAAGTGTATTTACTGCTCTCTGCACACAGACACACACACACACGCACACAAAATGACAAAAAATGGACACGTGAGATGATGAAATCTGTACGCAGACACACGAGTGGTGACATTTCGAGACCAAACAGAGATGAAAATGACGAATGAGAGGACAAATGAATATGACAATTAACAGGAAAAATAAGTAACGATATGATGACACAAGATGAAGAGACAGGCATTAGTTAGGGGTCCACGTGAAGCCACAGAGAGCCCTGTCATTGTGTCGTTATTGTGTTTCCCTGGCTGCACACTCGTGATGATGGTGTTCGTCAGAGTTAGAAGTGGATCAGATCTAGGAAGGCCCGCCTCCTAGTGTTAAAATATTTATGAAAGAACAAAGCCAGGCTTGTTTAATGCCTGTTTTGTACTGAAATATGATGAAAGCATATCGTCTGTGTTGGTTCTCAGTCATCCAGATGATGGAAGGAGCTTGAAAAGAAAGCGACTTAACTTCTTTGAGTTTCTGAAAACATCGTGTTAATAAATTATTAACTTATTTTTTGCAGGTCCTTTTTAAAAATCAGCAGCATCCTACCAGAGAAGGCGTTGCTCTACATGCATCCACTGCAAAGTGAAAGAATGACACTGGACATTTAGTTTTAGCGACCCAGCAGGACTTACATGGATCTGATCTGATCACTCACATACACCTGCTCTGGTAAAGGCATTGTTAGTGCAGTATCGGCACGCACAGACACACACTTACCTTGAACTCGTAGGACTCCTCTATGACCACTTCTACCTGTGTGTGTTCGCCCAAACTGGGACAGCCCATCTTGGCCACCTCTTCCTCCTCCGCCCCCACCAAAGGCTTGTTTTCATTCGAGTCACCTAGGTGACAATAGAGATGAGTAGTGATGAGACTTTACAGTAATAACAGAAACAGCTACCTGCCCAGCCTGGCAGCAGAGAAGCACATGACAAGAACAGGTTGGTGCTCGTTGGTTAGCAGTGACTGTACTTTCAAAATAAGAGCAAACCTTTCAGTTTCAGTGGATGTGCCCTGCCAGGATACTGTTTACGCGTTTTCATTTTGAAGTGTCTTTATTACTGCTCCATTTACTTGCACACTGACATTTTTAAAGGCCAAAGCTAGTTTGCTAATATTTTCACATATAGGACTTATTATTATCTAAGATCCTACTTAAAAAAAAGTCAATAGAAACCACTGAGAAACATACCACTCCCTTCACCAAGGCAATTTATATGTGCCGAATAACGTGTGCATTTCAAATGCTGCATCCCTGCACACTCCATTAACAAGCTCTGCCTCATTTAAAGTTTGACATTCGTACCTATACATAACTTTACCCAATTCACAGTGACAATGAAAAGATATTAAAAATAAGGTCTGAAATGTTTCCTTGTGTTATTCTGAGTTTTTTTGTTTAACAGTGAGATATTTTTAAGGTTTTAAGATGAAAATTGTGTCTAAAATGGTAGAGAAAATATCAAATACTAGTTACATATCATACAACAGAACATAACATGTAACATGATAATTGTACTGTTTTATTTATGCAGTGATGGAAATCTTCTATCATCTATCAATACTTTCCACCTTTATTGGTCCATACCTTCTGTTTGGGAGGGATAGCCAATCAGAAGACTTCAAGACAGAGGAATTAAATAAAAGCTGTTTTAGCAACAAAGACCAATGTATGAGATACAAAAGAATGATATATATAACAGTGAATCATCCAATGTCACTCTGGTGGAGTGCACGAAAAAAAATATGGAGCTGGAAATGAACATAATAGGTCCATTTTTAAATTTCTACTCTAGTTTTGGGCAGTCACATTACTCAAATAACTCCGTTTAATCATCAAATCTTGCCCTGAGGTTTCTCCATATAGTCGTTTGCTTAATCTTTTAATTTGATAGATTTCAGACATCATCTTAAGACGCGTCTCTTTTTTTCATTATTCTCAGCAGAGACCACAGCAGTGTGAACTATTACTGAGAAAACGTATGCTGTGGGTTGTGAAAGAATATTTATGTATATGCTAAATCTTTAAACATGGGAAACGTGAGCTTTATCCGCAAAAACTTTACGTTTTCTCCCACCTCTGTATTGCGCGCTTCCGTGTATGCTGCAGCATCTCTCCCAAACGTCTCCTTGTTCGCTCACGTTTCCAAAACAGACAGCAAGTTATTAATTTTTGCCGTTATCAGTGTGTAGCTCGCTGTAATTGAAAAGCTGTGTACTGTATGTGACAGCATTATGTGGTTGCCAGTCTGCTCGCTCTGTGACAGCATTATAAAACCCATCACATTTCTGTGTAATGAAACATGCCACAGCATGCCGCAGGCTATGGGCTCTTCCTGTGTGACATCTACACTATAGACTCTTTGAGAAGAGCCTCTGTGTGTGTTTAAAGAGTGATAAAGCAGGAAGATTCTGGTGCGGCTAATTGGCTGGCACGTCTTTAAAGACACAAAATGAACGTGGCGAAGAAATTTTTTTTGAAAAATACGTGAACTTTCTGATTGGGACACATTAGCTGCTCTTTGAAGCTGCTAACACATTCAGAGGTACAATGCTGGTAA